AATTGTATTTTTGAAAAGGACCACAACCCCCACACATGGTCGAAACGTCAAATAAATATATATTAACAACGCTAATTGAGGCCAGTGTTGTCAGATTAAATCTGAACCTCATATTTAGGAATACCCATTTTTATGATGAGTCCTCTAACATCTTGACAGAAAACAAATTGTTTTCCTGAGAGAAGAAGGGTAGGAAATATCTTTCTCTTGTGCGGTAGAATGTAATTTTCGTTCCACATTCGAGTACATTCTTATCATTCAATCTAAAAACAATTAATTCAGAAGTTTCTTTTCAAAGGCTGAGATCTCTCATCAGGTCATTTAACTCGTTTTGGTTAAAATGTAAGGACTTAATAAAGATCCAACATAATCACTGTCGTTATTTTGTTGTGCATCATAAGAGGCATGACCGGGAGTAGATTCATCCCTAGAAAGCTCCGGTAATTCGTGAAACATTGGAATTGGTACTTCTTCATCCGAGTGAGGAACTGGGCGCCTTGCAGAAGCTAAATCAGAGTAACTCCACTTGCTGCTCAATAATATTATTTTATGAAAAAACGCATTATTACAATGTAAATATATATCATAACAATTCCGCCAGTGACAAAGATTTGGTGCCACAATTTTTGTGCTATATCAGAAAAATGTATTATTTTATTTTTATATAACATTATAAATTGCCTAAACTTTATCAATATAATGTCAAATTAACATCAGTTTGACTTTTCTGTTCTTGTCGGATACTTCAGGAATCTCTTATTTTCACGTTTGAAAAATTATATTAATTTTAAGTAATATTATCATTTTTTTCTGAAAATTTGGTGTTAATTGATGCAAATAGGCATTATATATTAAACAGTCCTATCAATAACAATTTTAGCGCCATAAATCTTGCTCGCATAATTTCACAAAATTGATTTTATTTTATCTTTTAGCATACTATTAAATGTTAATATTTAATTGTTTAACAAAATTGATATCTTATGTAGGTGTTAAATATACACATACTTAATATGATGTAAATATACGCATTATATCAACAATCTCATCAATACTAAAAATTTGGCGTTATAAAGTTTGTTTGCACTGTTTTGTCAAAATTCTCACTATTCTAGCATTTTAGCTTACTATTCAATTATTATTAAATAATTTAACATTTAACAAAATCAATTATCTTATGCCGATGTTAAATGCGAGTTTGAAATACGTTGCGTTTACAATATTAAATTATCAAAATTTATGCTTAGTTATTTTCACGAACATTTGAAAAAGTATGACAAAATAAACTTTAAATATTATTTGTCTAGAAATTAGATGTTAATATAACGTAAGTAGGCATTAAAACAACGGTCCCGACAAGAAGAAAAATTTGGCCACGCTTACTCACGCTATTTTAAAAATTGAAACTTTTTAGTATATTATTTAAATATTAATATTTAATTATTTAACAAATTGATATCATATTTCTCTATATGTGCTACATTATACATGCTTATATGGTATAAATATATACGCATTATTGACCTTCCGTTTCCGGTGCGAGGGTGGTGTACACGTGGAGAGTGAGTGTGTGGTTTGAGGGAGCTTTAGAGGATATAGAGAACAGAGGGAGAGGAAAGGATAGTGTGAAGAGAGAGAGGAAAAGAAAATGAGAGAGTGAAAGTGTGGCAAACGAAAATAGATAGAAGGTGGAGGAAAGAATTAGATAGAGAGATAGCTGACAGCAGATAGTTTGGGTAGGGAGTATAGAATATATAGAGAGAGAGATGTGCGGTAGAAAGAAAGAGCAGGTGCTACGGAATAGCTAGTAGCTTTTAGAGAGAGATAAGCAAGGAGTAGGGAGAACATAAAGAGAAATTAGAAAGGAAGAAAGGAAAAGCCAAAGAGCAAGAGAATTATAAGTAGGAAGAAGACAATAGTTTAGAAAAGATGTTCAGCGGAAAGAAAGAAAGAAGCATGGAAAGTGACCCACACAGCACATGATATCATTCGAATATTCTGTACACATACTGTTAATCTACGCATATACATAAGAATACTGAGAATATCTTTATAATATCTCTTGCAATATATTATTTTTCGTATATTCTAGAATATATTTTAATATCTCTTACAGTATATTATTATTAGTATATTCGCGTATATTTTCAAGATATACTTTTGAATTACGCAGAATATTCGTTACAGGATGTCGTATGGAGCCATTTAAGTGCAGAGCGTTTTTGGCGCGTAAACGTACACGCCACGCGGTTTGTGATAGTGTTTTTTCTATGATAGTGGGTTACCGGTCTTTTTCCTGTGATATCTTGTCGCATGACGGTGTGAAAGTAAGTCTGTATATTTTTATATAATTTTTTGTAAATATAAATCCTTTTCATTTCTTTCAAAATTTATCTTATTTTGTGTAAAATATATTATATATTTTACTAAATATATTATTATATAATTCACTATAAAATATGTTTTACAACTGCAAGTTAACCTTAAAATTAATAATCGGACAGGCCCGATTGCAACAATACATTTTTCTTTTGGAACAAAAATATGTATACCTATATCTTATTTATGTTTCTTTCTAAATAAAGAAATACATATTTTGGTTTTAAGCAAGACTTAAAGTCAAAATAATGTTGGTGCAATCGACCCTTAAACTTCAGATTTATTTTATCGTGAACTTACATTTTACATTTTATATACTTTATTTTTAGTCTAATCTATTTTATTTCTCATTGCATTCCTGTTCCTTAATATACATGCATATTATTTTGGTACATTTATTCTAATATTAGTCTTTTGTATATTGATGATGATGTACCAAATATGTCTTGATGCATGTATCAAAGTATAATACAATTAAACAATAGAGGAAGCTAATATATAATAAAGTAAAATGTGATAAAAGTAATAGAAATCATATATATTGTATATGTGTATATTCATATAATTCTTTATCTTAGTTTTAATTTTGTTACAGCATTGCAAGAAAATATTATCGCAGCTTTATATTCATATACACAACAGTAGTGTGTTCTCTACAGTAGTGCGACAAAGAAATAGGTATTATATTTTATATATTTATAATTATAGTTTCTTTTTCTTATTTGTAATTTTTTATTTTGTTACAGCATTGTCACAAAAGAAATATTGAGACTAATATATTGGGGATCGCTTTATTTATCTGCATTATTTTAAAAAGTCTGCATCATTCTAGAAAAGTTTGTTCTCTACGCATAGCTCGTGGAACACACAGTAAGAAGTAAGTATATCATATTTTTCTTTCTTTTTTTTACTTGATTTATTTTTCATGATTATTATATATTTGTATTTTGGCACGCCTTTGATCGTATTTCAATATTAACGTAGCACATATGTAGAATGTTCGATTTAGATATGAAATTATTTTCATTATTATATTATATTTATAAACCTTCGAAATCTCATTAAATCTAACATTACCAAATTCCTTAATTGATTTAAATATGTAGATATGTATATAAAAATATACAAATATATAATTTTATGCCGATTTAGAAATATCTCTCTTATAAAGAGAGAGATTTAATGATTTAAAAAGTATAAATTAACAAAATATTTAATGTGTCTTCAGCATTCTACATTTGTATTGCACATATTAAGTCGACATACAATTTTATACATTTTCATTGAAAAAACATTATATTATATATTAATTGGTTAAATCATATTGATTATTGAGTAAGTAAATAGTTAATCATTTGATTAAGTATACGGATATCAGGAGACGCGGTAGCGTCTCGCTAAGTTATATCTTTCATTCGTCAAATTAAAATACAATCTACAAAAAACAAAAAAAAATATCGAAAGATATCGAAAAGATAGCGAAAATATCGAAACAATAGCGAAAATTATCCGTAGGACGCTACTGTGTATCCTTTACCGGACGTAACACACGATTTCGTAACCTTGAAAACAAAAATTTGAATATTTCATGAACGGAAACATATTTTTCAAAAGATGACCATATCAATCGAAAGCGCGATTTTTTCCGAGTAAAATGAGACTTTAACGAACTTGATAGCTCTATTGGTTGCGGAGATATGAATTTTTCAAGTTATTTTTTGTCGAAAAGGTGTCACTTTTTTTTAAGACTACGGCGTCGTACTTGTCCGCGGTCACCCATCCCGACAAAGTGATTCTGTCCGAAGCTGCTTTACCTTATCCGCGGTCACCCATCCTAGTATAGTGACATTTTCCTCAGCTGCTTAACCTTTTAAGCAACCAAACGAAAAATAAATTCTCGCTCTCTCTCACTCTCTCTCTCTCTCCCCCTCTCCCCTCTCTCACCCCTTTTTCTCCCTTTCTCTCTTGCTTTCCACGTCTTTTTCGCTCTCTCTCGCCCCTCTCTCTCCTCGCTTTCTCTCGCTGTCTCTCGCTCCTCTCTCTCTTGCTCTCTCTCGCCTCTCTCGCTCTCTACTCTCTCTCTCCCTCTCTCTCTCTCGTCGTCTCTTCCGCTCTCCTCGCTTTCTCTCGCTCTCTGTCTTTCTCTCTCCTGTCTCCGCGTTCTCTCGCTCTCTCCCCACTCTCTTCGCGTTCTCTCGCTCTCTCTCGTCTCTCTCGCTCTCCCTCTCGTTTTTTCGTTTTCGCTCTTCTTTCCTTTCTCTCGCTTTCTCTTCTCTCTCTGTTCTCGCCTTCTCTCGTTCTCTCTCGCTCCTCGCTTTCTTCCGGTCTCTCTCGCTCTCTCCCGCTCTTTCTCTCTCGCGCTCTCTCTCGGCCTCTCTCGCTCTCTCTCGCTCCCTCTCGTCTTCTTCTCACTCTCCTTGGTTTTTTTTTCGCTTTCTCTCGCTGTTTCTCGCTCTCTCTCGTTTCTCCCGCTCTCCGCTCTCTCGCTTCTTTCGCTCTCTCTCGCTCTCTCCCGCTTTGTATCGCTCTCTTCTCTCCTCGCTCTCTCTCTCGCCTCTCTCGCTGTCTCTCGCTCCTCTTGCTCTCTGCCGCTCTTCTCGCGTTCTCTCTCGCTCTCTCTTCGTCTTCTCTCGCTCTCTCTCTCCTCGGTTTTTTTTTTCGCTCTCTTTCGCTTTCTCACGCTGTTTCTCGTCTTCTCTCGTCTCTCCCTCCCGCTCTCTCTCGCTTTCTTTCGCTCTCTCTCGCTCTTCTGCGCTCTCTCGGCCTCTCTCGCTCCCCTCTCGTCTTCTCTCATCTCTTCACTCTCTCTCGGTTTTTTTCGCTTTTCTTTCGCTGTTTCTCGCCTTCTCCTCTCGTCTCTCTTCTCTCCCGCTCTCTCTCGTCTTTCTTTTGTTGCTCTCTCTCGCTCTCCACTCCCGCTTTGTATCGCTCTCTCTTGCTCTCTCTCGCCCTCTCTCGCTGTCTCTCGCGCTCCCTCTGCTCTCTGCCGCTCTCCCCTCTCTCTCTCGCTCGGCGTTCTCTCTCGCCTCTCTCGTTTCTCTCTCGCTCTCTCTCGGTTTTTTCGCTCTCTCTCTCTCGCTCTCTCTCACGCTTTCCTCCTCGCTGTTCTCGTCTTCTCTCGTTCTCTCCCGCTCTCTCCTCGCTTTCCTTTCGCTCTCTCTCCTCTCGCTCTCTCGCCTCCTCCCGCTCTCTCTCGCTCTCTCTCCGCTCCTCTCGCGCGCCTCTCGCCTCTCTCCTCCCTCTCGTCTTCCTCACCTCTCTCGGTTTTTTTTTCGCTTTCTCTCGCTGTTTCTTCTCTCGCTCTCTCTCGTTCTCTCCCCCCGCTCTCTCTCTCTCGCTCTCTTTTTCGTTCTCTCTCTCGCTCTCTCCCGCTTTGTATCGCTCTCTCTCCTCTCTCCGCTCTCTCTCCTTGCCCTCCTCTCGCTGTCTCTCGCTCCCTCTTGCTCTCTGCTCGCTCTCCTCCTCTCCTCTCTCCGCTCTCTCTCGCGTTCTCCGCTCGTCTTGTCTCTCGCTCTCTCTCGGTTTTTTTCGCTCTCTCTCGCTTTCTCGCTCCCTCGTCTGTTTCTCGTCCGCTTCTCTCGTTCTCTCCCCTCGTTCTCTCCCGCTCTCTCCCTCGCTTTCTTCGCTCTCTCTCGCGCTCTCTCGCGCTCTCCGTCCTCTCTCTCGCGCTCTCTCGCCTCTCTCGCTCCCTCGCGTCTTCCTCTCCTCTCCTCGGTTTTTCGCTTTCCTTCGCTGTTTCTCGCCTTCTCGTCGTTTCTCTCCCGCTCTCTCTCTCTTTCTTTTGCCTCTCTTCGCTCTCTCCCGCTTTGTATCGCCTCTCTTGCGCTCTCTCTCTCGCTCCTCGCCCTCTCTCTCGCTGTCTCTCGCTCCCTCTTGCTCTCTGCCGCTCTCTCGCTCTTCGCGTTCTCGCTCTCTCTCTCCTCGTCTCGCTCTCTCTCTCTCTCTGGTTTTTTTTTTTCGTCGCCCTTTCTCGCTTTCTCACGCTGTTTTCTCGTCTTCTCTCGTTCTCCCTCTCCCGCTCTCTCTCTCGCTTCTTTTCCTTTTCGCTCCTCTCTCTCTTCTCCCCCGCTCTCTATCCGCTCTCTCGCTCTCTTCTCCTCCGCGCTCTCTCGGCCTCTCTCGCTCCCTCCGCTTCCTCTCACTCTCTCTCGGTTTTTTTTTTTTTCGCTGCTCTCTCTCGCGTTTCTCGCTCTCTCTCGTTCTCTCTCCCTCTCTATCGCTTTCTTTCTTTCGTTCTCTCCTCGCTCTCTCCCGCTTTGTATCGCTCTCTTTTTTTTTCTCTCTCGCTCTCTCTCTTGCCCTCTCTCGTCTTCCTCTCCTCCCTCTTGCTCTCTGCCTCTCTCCTCCCTCTCGCTCCTCGCGTTCTCTCGCCTCTCCTCGCTCTCTCTCCTCTCTCGCTCTCTCTCGCTCCCTCTCGTCTTCCTCTCTCTCTCTCACTCTCTCTCGGTTTTTTTTTTTTCGCTTTCTCTTTCTCTCTCTGTTCTCGCTCTTCCTCGCTCTCTCTCGCTCTCTCCCGCTCTCTCCTCCTTTCTTTTCGCTTTCTCTCGCTCTCTCCCGCTTTGTATCGCTCTCTCCCGCTCTCTCTCGCTCTCTCTCGCCCTCTCTCGCTGTCTCTCGCTCCTCTTGCTCTCTCTCGCTCTCTCGCTCTCTCTCTCTCGCGTCTCTCGCTCTCTCTCGTCTCTTCTCTCGCTCTCTCTCGGTTTTTCGCTCTCTCTCTCGCTTTCTCACGCTGTTTCTCGCCTTCTCTTCTCTCGTTCTCTCCCGTTCTCTCGCTCTTTCCTCTCGCCCTCTCTCTCTCTCGCGCCTCTCCTCTCTCTCTCCTCTCTCGCTCTCTCTTTCCTTTTCCTCTTCGCTCCTCTCCTCCCTCTCTCTCTCTTTCTCCTCTCTCTCTCGCTTCCTCTCTCGCTGTTTCTCGCCTTCTCTCGTCCTCTCCCGCTCTCTCTCTCGTTCTTTCTCGCTCTCTCTCTCGCTCCTCTTTCGCTCTCTTTCTTCTCTCGCTTTCCCTCCCTCCCGCTCTCTATCGCTTTTCTTTCTCGCTCTCTATCGCCTCTCTCCTTTCTTCTCTCGCTCTCTCGCTCTCGCTCTCTCGCTCGTCTTCTCTCTCCTCTCCTCTCGCTCTTTCTCTCGTTTTTTTTCGCTTACTCTCGCTCTCTCTCGCTTTCTTTTCTTTTCTTCCTTTCGCTCTCTCTCGCGTTCTTTCGCTCTCTCCCCGCTTTCGCTCGCTCGCGTCTCTCGCTTTTTCCCGCTCTCTCTCGCGTTCTTCGTCTCTTCTCTTTCCGCTCTCTCTCGCGTTCTCTCGCTCTCTCCCGCTCTCTCTCGCGTTTTCTCGCTCTCTCCCGCTCTCTCTCGCGTTCTCTTGCTCTCTCTTGTCTTCTCTTCTCTCCTCTCGCTCTTTTTCTCGTTTTTCTCGCTCTTTCTCGCTTTCTCTCGCTGTTTCTCGCCTTCTTTTGTTCTCTCCCGCTCTTCTCTCGTTCTCTTTCGTTCTCTCTCGTTTTTTTTTCCGCTCTCTCTCGCTCTCTCTCCCGCTTTCTATCGCTCTCTATCGCTCTCTCGCTCTCGCTCTCTCCTCTCTCCCGCTTTGTATCGCTCTCTATCGCTCTCTCTCGCTCTCTCTCGCTCTCTCTTGCTCTCTCCCGCTTTCTCTCTCTCGCTCTCTCTTGCTCCCTCTTGCTCCCTCTTGCTCTCTCCCGCTCTCTCTCTTGGGTCCTCTTGCTCTCTCTCGTCTTCTCTCATTATAAATATAAAAAAATATACATTTATTTAATGCATTTTGTTTAATGATCTTTGCAAAATATGTGAAATTCCACAAAAAAAGACATCACAGATGTAAAAAAAAAGCGCTAAGTTATATCTTTCGTCAGCAAAAATAGTTCTTTATAATAATAAAAAAATATAATCTTCTCAAAAATTATGTTTATAGCCAAAATAATTCTTTGCAAAAATTAATCATTATCAAAAATATTTTCTCAAAATTATATTTATAAATTATATTTTATTTTTGTTAATAATACTAGAAAAAATTAAAATATTAGCATCAAAAAGTAGTGAAATCAAAAAATTGCGCTAAATAATTATATTGATAATACGAGAAAAAAGGTTAAAATATTAGCATCAAAAAGTAGTCAAATCAAAAAGTTGCACTAAGTAAGTGACAACATAATATATAATATTTAGATAAATTTCTTATAATGATACAAATGTATAATTATTGCTTTATTTTAAAACGTTTATAATATATACAATAACAAAATAAATTCAGTAAATATATATATATATATATTTATTCATCTTTATATTTAAATAACATGAATAATTATGTAATTAATTCAAACTGGAATGTATATACATTGTAAAGTTATTATATATTTTTATAAAATATTTAGATAAATAGATATATATAAAAATAAATTATTTATCTCTAAATAATTATTTAATTCAAATATATTTAAACGTATATTCAAAAAAGGTAATATAAGGCACAAAGAATTAAATTTAGGAAATTAAAAAAATTTAAAGTTAAATAAAATTTTTAATTTAAATTAAAAAATAAAAGTAAAAATAAAAGTAAAAAAAATGTAATGTACAAAAAATACTTAGCGCTGTTTTTGTATTATAGCCCTTTGACTACGAAACGTCCTTAAAAATGATGATTAGTAACGAAATGTGTATATACAGAATATATCACACACAGAAGTCGCATCCTATCTTTGGAGAGTGAAATGATGAAGTCAAAATAAGTCGAAATTAAAGAATCATGAAATTATATTTGAATCTTTTTTTATAAAAAATTCATAATGAAAATAATGCGCTTTAAACATCTATCTCGAAACTTTGATTGCGATCAGGAAAACATTGCAAATGCTTTAAAACATGTATCAGAATAAAGAAATTTTTATTCATTTATATTTTGATTGATCAATTAAACACTTTGAAATGCTCCATATACATTAATTAATATATGTATACATCAGAGTTGGGAAAGTTACTTTGTAAAAGTAACTAGTTACAGTTACAGTTATTTCATTGAAAAAATAACTAGTTACAGTTACAAGTTACCGATTTAAAAAATAACTCGTTACAGTTACAGTTACTCTAAAAGTAACGAGTCGTTACTTTTCAGTTACTTTTTAAAAATAATTATACATTGTTTTAAATATAAGGAGCTTACATTTTATGCACAATTACAGTCAAGTATTTAAAAAAATTCTTGAATGTAATATTGATCGATTTGCTTGCGACTTTGCAATTAACATCAATGTATGAATGATCTTTATATACAACAGTAAAAATAGTTATAGTAAGTTACTAAATGGTAATCGCAAAGTCGCAAGCAAATCGATCAATTATTACCTTTAAGAATTTTTTTAAATATTTGACTGTGATTGGTCGATCTTAATTATGTGTTATATTATTTTATGTACACAAAATGAAAATTTTAGGTAAAAGATTAAATCATATGAAGATCCATATGCTACTGTTATCAAAATTTAATTTAATAATATAACGGCTACCATACTTAAACAATACTTTTAGCGTATGTTTCCAAAAAAAGTAACTAATAAAGTAACTATTAAATAGTTACTAGTTACTAAAAAATGTAACTAAGTTACAGTTACAGTTACAGATGGAAAAAAGTAACGAAGTTAAGTTATAGTTACCGAAAAAAAGTAACTGTAACTGTAACTTCGTTACAAGTAACTCGTTACTTCCCCAACCCTGGTATACATATATTAATAACATATATATGTATATGTATACGTCTTTAGCATATATTAATGTATAGTAAATTCATTTTTATAATTTTCACTTAGCCCATTCACATTGCCCAATCGTTGAATCTGTTTAATATGACAATTATTGCATGTTACATTATATACATATATTTCATACATGTATATCGATATGTTCAGCTAGCCACATGTCATTCGAATATCGAGCCACGTAATATGTTTATAGATTTCTATTGAAGCGTATTGCAGTAAAAAAATTAGTCTATACTTTGATTTATATTTTATTTTATTTACTAATGTGTTAAAATAACAATACAAAAACAGCGCTAAGTATTTTTTGTACATTACATTTTTTTTACTTTTATTTTTACTTTTATTTTTTAATTTAAATTAAAATTTTTATTTAACTTTAAATTTTTTTAATTTCCTAAATTTAATTCTTTGTGCCTTATATTACTTTTTTTGAATATACGTTTAAATATATTTGAATTAAATAATTATTTAGAGATAAATAATTTATTTTATATATATATGTATTTATCTAAATATTTTATAAAAATATATAATAACTTTACAATGTATATACATTCCAGTTTAAATTAATTACATAATTATTCATGTTATTTAAATATAAAGATGAATAAATATATATATATATATATTTTACTGAATTTATTTTGTTATTGTATATATTATAAACGTTTTAAAATAAAGCAATAATTATACATTTGTATCATTATAAGAAATTTATCTTAATATTATATATTATGTTGTCACTTACTTAGTGCAACTTTTTGATTTGACTACTTTTTGATGCTAATATTTTAACCTTTTTTCTCGTATTATCAATATAATTATTTAGCGCAATTTTTTGATTTCACTACTTTTTGATGCTAATATTTTAATTTTTTTCTAGTATTATTAACAAAAATAAAATATAATTTATAAATATAATTTTTGAGAAAATATTTTTGATAATGATTAATTTTTGCAAAGAATTATTTTGGCTATAAACATAATTTTTGAGAAGATTATATTTTTTATTATTATAAAGAACTATTTTTGCTGACGAAAGATATAACTTAGCGCTTTTTTTTTACATCTGTGATGTCTTTTTTTGTGGGATTTGATTTTACATCATGCAGCCGATTATCTTGAAAATAAAAGATTTTCAGGAAAAATATTTCGAACAAAACTTTTGTAACTTCGAAGAAGACATAAGATGGTGTCATTGGTTTGTCTTGGATAATGATTTGAAGGTCATCCTCAATTTCTTAATAGAACATTTTTTCATATTCTTGTAGCCCATCTCGAAAACACTATGTAACGGCTTAATGCAAATTTATCATTTTTTTAAAGACAACTACATGTTTTTTTTACATCAATTAGTCTCCTTATTCTATGCATTAAAGTATTAAGGTAAGATTTTCGAAAACTGAATGGTTTATACAATATTTTGTAATTTATGTAAAAAAGTTAGAATTAGAAGCCTTATAACTCGAAAAGTTAATGAAAAAGTATTTTATTTTAGTATTTTGGAAAGCTCTCGAGATAGGCTACAAGAATATGCAAAGAAAAATAGTGTTCCATTTGGGATATTAAATGTGATCTTCATGTAACCTTCAAACAACTATGCAAGGTCAAATAACACCATCTTATGTTTCCCTTAAAGTTATAAAATTTTTGTATAAAACATTTTTCCCAAAAATATTTTATTTTTAAGTTAATCGATTATATAATTTAAAATTTAACACCCTGTATATTATTTACATATACTTTTATCTTTGTAATAATCTTTGTAATAACGCAATATCAATAATGTGATATATATAATAATGAAACATAATATTGAATAATCAAATAATATTATTAAAAATTAAATAAGATAAAGTAATTAATTTAAACAACAAAATAAAATGATAATTAAGCTAATAATCTATTTAACAATTAACATTTAGAATCTATTTGAACAGAAATGAATCGCAAACGGCCGAGAAAAGATATTTTTTATATATCAAAACGACATCTCAATAGAGTAGCTACAGAAGAATTAGAACTTATAAGTGATAATTTGCTAAGTACGACTGCGATATCTTTATCTTCATCACATAGTGATGATTATATGTGCTCAAAATATTTGGAAAATAAGTCCACATTTAAATCAGATACAATAAATAAATGTAATAAGATAATTCCATCTGAAAATGATACTAATAGTTGGAACAAGAATAATATATCTGGAAATGACGAATGTCATAGACAATTAAACAAATATGAATCTAAATCATCACAAGCTTCTGGAAGTACTTCTACTACAGCTTGTGTGACCTTTGTAAATACAAATACAACAGACAGCAAAAATATAAATACAATAGACATTTTTAACAATGATCTTGCTGCCTGGGCCGTAGAGCATCAGATATCACATACTGCTTTTAATGCATTACTTAAAAATTAAGACAACATTCTTGTTTTTCGAAATTACAAACTGATGCACAATCACTTCTAAAAACGCCAAGAAAACAAGAGATACGTATAGTAAACCCAGGAATATATATTACCATTTTGGGTTACTTAATTCTGTATTTAATATATTGACATCCACGAAAAATGATATTAATTGTGTAAAAGTTATTATAAATATTAATAGGTTACTACTAGCGAAATCATCAACACAACAATTTTGACCCTTATTAGGTTCGGTTGTTCCATAGGATAATGTTTTTATAATTGGAATTTATTATGGAGATGAAAAACCAGCCGATGTCAACGATTTTTTAAAAGATTTTGTTAATGAGGCTAAAGAAATGTGTGAAGATGGAATTTACTTTAATGGTCGTAACGTACAAATGTAGAATTGAAGCTTTAGTATGTGACACATCAGCAAAAGCATTCGTTCTCTGCGTGAAAGGACATGCGGGATATTCCAGTTGTACCAAGTGCACAACGGAAGGAGATTATATAAGAGGGCGATTATGTTTTCCAGAGACAAATGCACCACTTAGATCAGATAGTGATTTTATACAGAAAATTGATGATAGTTATCACAAGCCTGATATTACATGCAGCTTATTAGAAGTACCTCATTTCAAGCCTGTCACAAATGTCCTGTTGGATTACATGCACTTGGTATGTTTAGGAATTATGCGTAAATTAATGTACCTATGGCTTCAAGGAGAGTTACATTATCGACTACCACATAAAGCCGTTGAAGATATATCTGTACGTTTGGTAACACAATTAAAACCATCAATACCAATAGAATTCGCAAGAAAACCACAAAAGCTAGATTATTTAATATTATGAAAAGCTACGGAATACAGATTAATATTATTATATACAGGTCCAGCAGCATTCAAATCAATATTAAAGAAAAAGATATATATTAATTTTCTAACATTACACGCGCGCGCGCGCGCGCGCGTGATTATCAGAATCTTGTCTTCAAAAGATTTACACAAATATTTAAACTATGCGCAAGATTTGATTTTCTTTTTCATAAAATCATTTGAAGAATTATATGGCGTTTAGAACATATCACATAATGTTCATAATCTCGTGCATCTCGTAGACGATGTTAAAAAATTTGGACCACTTGATAATTTTAGTGCTTTAAATTTGAAAACCATATGCAAATATTAAAGAAATTAATTAGAAAATCAGAAAAACCTTTACAACAAATCATACGGAGATGTATTGAAAAAGAAATCAACTCACATACAATATTATCATCAAATAAGAACGTAGATATTTGAGAATCGCCAGAGAGAATTTAAAAAAAGTAAAAATCTTCTCTCGACCGTACTGGCAAATATTATTTATTCAATCACAACGTTTCGACCCTTCTTTGAGTCCTTATCAAGTGATCTAGATATACATAGACCGAGATTAGTACATTAAAAAAAATAAAATTACTTCACTAACAATATTACAAAATGATAAAAAGAAAAAGAAGCGAGACTTACTTGTAAAATTAAAAATAAAATTATAATTCTAAGATGTCAAGAACGAACATAGTGTCGGTTTGACAACACGTCAAGACTCTTAGACGAGTTATTGGAGACTAAACGACCCTTATTATTGTGTCGTAGATATTACTTAGATTGTCAGTATCCTTTTGTAAATTAATAGCGTTATTATTTCCCTTAATAAAGAACATTTCAGCGATTTCTCTTTTTCTTACGTGTTTTTCACTATGCAAGATAACAGGTGAAGTCCAGTCAAAATCGTGATCGAATTCAATTTTATGTTTGCTAATAACTGATAAATTACGAATGCATTTTGATGTTGTTAAAATGTTCCTTTACACGTGTACACAGATGTCTTTTTGTTTGTCCGATGTATGACACGTTGCAATCCCTACAATTAATTTTGTAAACCACTTCAGTTTTTTTATCTGTAGGCAGTCTATCCTTGCCGAGTGTGATCAAATGATTCGGCTTTTTAGGAACATTATGAACAACATTAAATCCGATATTTTTAAAAATTCGATCGATATCGCCTAAGCTATTATATTAACATAAGGTAGTGAAATGAAAGGAGAATTATCAACAATATTTCGCTCATTACTCGATTTATTCATGTTTCTGTGTTTTAAAAAATTAATCCTTTTTTTAACCCAACGATCGATTACATGTTTAGGAAAGCAGTTATTAAACAAAATCTGTTTCACGATATTAATATTCTCGTCATGAAACTGGTCATTAGATAAAATAATCGCGTGATCTACAAGATTAAAGATTGTGTTCATTTTATATTTAAAAGGGTGGTTGGAAAAGAAATTTATATATCTGTTCGAACACGTTTCCTTCCTGTACCAATTTGTTACAAGCTTTTCACTTGACCGAGAGATCGTTGTATTAAAAAATTAAGACATTTTTGGAAAAGGAAGACTTATTCACAGTTCCTTGTTTATCTACAAATGCTTGGAATTTATTGTGTACATTTACAATCAGAATTGAAATCATGGCCATTAAAAGATGTAATTAGAAAATATATAAAGTTACCATATCAAGATGACAAATATGCAGTTTTTCCACTCCTCCATGGTTTTATATAATACATTTATTTATATACAGAATGGCACAAGAAAAATTTTATGCCGTTGTTGAATTTGAGGATGGGCTTCAAATCGTTCCAAATAATTGGTTGAATTCGAATTTAAACAAGGCTGTTTGGCCAAATTTCACTAACAACAAGCGTTACTATAAGGCTGTGAAATCTATGGAAAACTCAGAACCTACATGGATAGAACATCCAATTCAGAAAATATATGCAAAAGACAGTAAACAATCATCATATTCTTTTTTTAATATATATGCAATAATTTTAAAATATATGTATATAATTTCTTGCATACAACATGTGGAGAGAAAGAGAGAGAGAGAGAGAGAGAGAGAGAGAGAGAGAGAGAGAGAGTTGCCATCATTCAGAACGCGGTTTTATTGATAGCAATGTATGTAATTAGCATATAGTTCACGTTAACATTTATATTATAAAATTTCAAAACTATAAAATACTCTTATTTATTGATAAAAAGCGCGTTTTGAATATGCACTATAAATATTAAAATATATATAAATATATATAGAGTGTCTCAGAATAACCCTATCAATGCTTAAAGGCGGATTCTCTAACCAATTTGGAGATGATTTTCCTAGCAAAAATGTTGAGAAATCAAGAATTTTCGAGTTATAAGCAATTGAAAAAAACGGATTTTTCACAAACTTTGTGGAGTTAAAAGGTTAACATAATTATATTCTTTAGTCAATTTCAGATGGAGTTTACTTTAATAAAATTTTAATTTAAGGTTTAGTTACAAAGAAACATAATGACAAAAATTGGAACTTTGCAAAAATGATGACCTTGATCCGTCTTGAAGCATTGATACGATTATACTAAGACACCCTGTATAATATTAATAGATATTTTTAAATAATACAAGGAAGCAATTATTAACAAAATGTATATTATTTTTTTTAGCAAACTATGAATTAGCAAGAAGAAAATTAAAAGATGCTGAAGAACTATCAGATATCAATTCTGGCACTGACAAAGAGAAAGTATTAAAAAAAAAAAAGAAAATATAGAGCTGCTAAGCAATTTGATGAAACTTCTATATTAAAAACAAAGTGATAAATCTAAGGCCAACTTATCGAGCTGAATATTCGAGATGTTCAGTCAACTACCATTTATTACATGTATAAATTATAAAACTACAGTCATTAGATATTAAAACTAACGCAAATTACAATCATTCTACAAACGTTTCAACCGCACGCGGTCTTCTTCAGTATAATTATTGAAATATAAATTCATACAACTTCACATAATATCGAAATTTAATTATAGTTATTCAGAATCGAGAGTTTTTGAGCAATTAACGCGTGTTCTAATTCGTCATGTCCAACAATGTTCGCCTCGATATGATCTCTGATTTTGCTCAGATGTCGGATAGTTTCATCGTTAATATGCGAGAAATTAACCCGTTCCGTAGGCGCTGCGATTAATAAAAAATTAACGATTAACGTATGTCGAATTATAATATATATCCCCTACAATTGGTAATATGCTTACCTATCATCGTCCTTCTTGACAATTTTGCTACTTATTAACAGTTATTAAGGATGACACATAACAAACCAACAATACAGAAAGACAGCTCATTTTAAACTCTACTTGATCGGAGAGCGTGCGTGTTTATATATGATCTAATATCTATGTTTGACTCGTTGATGTCCTATTTGTCCTATTATTATTTATTGTTCGCTAATATATCCAAAATATCAAAATACGACTCGCTAAGTAACTCAGTATCTTTGTTTAAATTTAGTCCATTTTTTTGTTCCTTGATATGTAGCATCTCAGAAATGAGTCTTTTATAATAATTATTTTCGTTGTCCATGATCTTAACATTGTCCCAATTAAAAGTATGATGTTCATTTCTTATGTGTTCAGAAATTACTGAATGTTTCGTTGAGTCCAACCTAATATTATTTTTATGTTCTTTTATTCGCGTCTGCAATTGCCTCTTTGTTTGGCCTACATAAGATGCATTACAATTATTGCAACTGATCTTATAAACCACATTCGAATTGCATGGATGTTTAGTTTTATCTTTCTGTGCTTTAATAATATTATCCAGTTTGTTGAGACATCTATACCCTACAATACAATTTTTATTTTTTACCGAGGAAACAATCATTTCTGAGATCCTATCTATATACGGAATGACAAAGAATTTTTTATTAACCGAGTCATTTCCTATACTTTTTGTTCTTTCTATGTTGGCCTGTCTCTCTATAATGCTCCCCTTAGATATGATGTGTTCTATCCGATGATTAATTTTGTTAAAAATCAGATCAAGAGGGTAACCATTGCTTATGAGTATATTAATGATTAACTCTAAATTTTTATTAAAAATAGTGGATGTGATAGCAATAGACATCTGTCTACAAGGTTATATATTATTCCAATTTTGTGGCATAATGGGTGGTTTGAATAAAATGATAACGTCCTTCCTGAGAAGGTTTCTTTTTGATACCAGTCTATGTATATTGTGTTATTAATAATTTTAAGTGATAAATCTAAGAAATTCAAGCTATGATTAACCTCTTGTTCGACCGTGAATTTAAGTCTTTCATGATAGTTGTCGAGGCGAACATTGTTGGACATGACGAATTAGAACACGCGTTAATTGCTAAAAAACGTAATGCTACGGTTGCAATGGAAAGATCTTATTATATTAACAAAATGGAAAATGTTTTAAAAGATGTTAACACTTACACTATTGTTAAAAAAAATCCGTGCAAAAAAATAGAGAACGATTTGAATGATTTGTTGAAGAGATGACTTAAGGAAGATTATATTTCAAAAAATGAATATTATAAATTACGTTATAGTGATTCTCTCCTTCCAAAAGCGTATGGATTACCTAAAATCCATAAGAAAAACTATCCAGTTAGAATCATAGTTTCATCGGTTGATACAGCTCTATACTCGCTGGCTTCGTTTTTACAAAACACCTTACGAACTACCCTACCCAAAGCGAAAAGTCATATTAATAATAGTTTTGATTTGTACAGCATATTGTCTGGTAAAAAGATTGATGAGAATGATAGGATGTTTTCCTTGGATGTGGTGTCTTTGTTTACGAACGTTCCTCTGGATCTTGCGATTGACGGTATTAACGATAGATGGGATCACATTGGAATAAATACTAGAATACCGAAAAACGAATTTTTGGGGGGTATAAAATTCATATTGACTTCTACATATTTTACATTTAATGACATAATTTATAAACAGACGTTTGGGACCCTTATGGGGTCACCGTTATCACCAATTATTGCAGACCTGGTTATGCAAGATCTTGAGATACAGTTCTCAAAGCGTTGAATTTGGAATGTTTGTTTTATTTTCGTTATGTGGATGACATAATAGTGGCCACCTCTATGACTAATATGACTCAGATTGTGAATAATTTTAACAACTATCATGAAAGACTTAAATTCACGGTCGAACAAGAGGTTAATCATAGCTTGAATTTCTTAGATTTATCACTTAAAATTATTAATAACACAATATACATAGACTGGTATCAAAAAGAAACCTTCTCAGGAAGGACGTTATCATTTTATTCAAACCACCCATTATGCCACAAAATTGGAATAATATATAACCTTGTAGACAGATGTCTATTGCTATCACATCCACTATTTTTTAATAAAAATTTAGAGTTAATCATTAATATACTCATAAGCAATGGTTACCCTCTTGATCTGATTTTTAACAAAATTAATCATCGGATAGAACACATCATATCTAAGGGGAGCATTATAGAGAGACAGGCCAACATAGAAAGAACAAAAAGTATAGAAAATGACTCGGTTAATAAAAAATTCTTTGTCATTCCGTATATAGATAGGATCCCAGAAATGATTGTTTCCTCGGTAAAAATAAAAATTGTATTGTAGGGTATAGGTGTCTCAACAAACTGGATAATATTATTAAAGCACAGAAAGATAAAACTAAACATCCATGCAATTCGAATGTGGTTTATAAGATCAGTTGCAATAATTGTAATGCATCTTATGTAGGCCAAACAAAGAGGCAATTGCAGACGCGAATAAAAGAACATAAAAATAATATTAGGTTGGACTCAACGAAACATTCAGTAATTTCTGAACACATAAGAAATGAACATCATACTTTTAATTGGGACAATGTTAAGATCATGGACAACGAAAATAATTATTATAAAAGACTCATTTCTGAGATGCTACATATCAAGGAACAAAAAAATGGACTAAATTTAAACAAAGATACTGAGTTACTTAGCGAGTCGTATTTTGATATTTTGGATATATTAGCGAACAATAAATAATAATAGGACAAATAGGACATCAACGAGTCAAACATAGATATTAGATCATATATAAACACGCACGCTCTCCGATCAAGTAGAGTTTAAAATGAGCTGTCTTTCTGTATTGTTGGTTTGTTATGTGTCATCCTTAATAACTGTTAATAAGTAGCAAAATTGTCAAGAAGGACGATGATAGGTAAGCATATTACCAATTGTAGGGGATATATATTATAATTCGACATACGTTAATCGTTAATTTTTTATTAATCGCAGCGCCTACGGAACGGGTTAATTTCTCGCATATTAACGATGAAACTATCCGACATCTGAGCAAAATCAGAGATTATATCGAGGCGAACATTGTTGGACATGACGAATTAGAACACGCGTTAATTGCTCAAAAACTCTCGATTCTGAATAACTATAATTAAATTTCGATATTATGTGAAGTTGTATGAATTTATATTTCAATAATTATACTGAAGAAGACCGCGTGCGGTCGAAACGTTTGTAGAATGATTGTAATTTGCGTTAGTTTTAATATCTAATGACTGTAGTTTTATAATTTATACATGTAATAAATGGTAGTTGACTGAACATCTCGAATATTCAGCTCGATAAGTTGGCCTTAGATTTATCACTTTGTTTTCAATATACGAGCGACAATTTGTATTAATTTACTTCTATATTAAATAGTGATGATGAATGCGACGAAAATTCATTTATTTTGCAGCTTCCAAAAATGCCTGTTAGGCCTGTACATACCTCTGAAAAAATGAAAAAGGCAAAATTGTCACAGAAAGGTGAAAGCATAAAAAATTATATTAATAGTCAGAAGAATAATATTAAGAAAAAGAATAATATTGAAAAATTTTAATAATTAATAGTGCATAATTCTAATAATAATAAAATATTAGTTTAAAGCTGCAAATTTTAATTATGTGAAACAATAAAGAAAACTAACTTTTTTGTTTAGAATTGACAGTGAAACATAAAAACTCAAAATCAACATTGGACAGATATGATTGCAACTACAATGTAAAAGGTATATATATGTTTACATAGTAAAGAAGCAAGAAATATAAATTATGCATTTTATTATATTTTTCTTCTTTTTTTTATACTATTATATAACTGTAATTTAATATGATATAAATGGAACTTTAAATATATAAAAACCTAGCATATAATGTACATAATAATAAATGCATAATTTAAATAAATCAAATCTATTTTATATTATATGGCACACACACACACACACAATTGTAGATTTAATATAAAGAATTAAATAACTAAATTAAATACATAATATTTTTGGTTACAATATTAAAATTACATTTAAATATAGCAATAAATAATTTTTTTAGATATACCTAAACCTAGTACATCTAAAAAGATACATGCAGATGATAAAGATGATGTAAATAATGACATAAATGATGAAGATTATGTAGATGATTGAAGATGATGTTAATGATGAGTCCGATATACTCTCGGAACAATTATTTGGAACGAATCTAAATGAGGATAATGATGAGATAAAGGGAGAAGAAGTCATTCAAGTAAGGAACAATACCAAAGAGAAAAAATAAATATATACATATTGTACGATTAATTGAAAAAAAATAGATGAAATAAAACAATTAGTATATAAGGTTAAAAAATTTAAGTGCACAGAGCACCGGAGTTTCTTGGCTATACCAAAACTAAACGCGATTTGCGATCTCGATTCGAGATTCTAACGAACGAACGAAACCTAACGAGTTTCGTTTGTTCATTAGAATCTCAAATTGAGATCGCGAATTGCGTTTAGTTTTTGTATATCTAAGAAACACCGGTGCCTTGTGTGTACATAAAATTAAGTTTCGTAAAAATCTTAAATTTCAACGAAACTCACGCACTACCAACCGCATATAGTCTCTGTATTGTCTCGTTTTTTACATATTTTAACAAATAATTACTTAGAATAAATTTTATATTAATGTACAAAGTAATTTTATATAGAATACTTTAAAAAATATTTTACAAATATATTCCACATTAATACATTATTATACAAATATAATCTTTTGTAAAATTTTTATAACGCAACTTTTCATAATTGTAGATCAAACAATTGACTCATTGTGACAAGTCAAGATGTAAAAACTTCTTCTTTACGGATAATGAAGAAATTGTTTTCTAATGAATTAGTAGTGCAATACAGTTGGTATGGAGCAAAAAAAAGAAATTTTTTCGCAGCTAAATATCTGCAAAATAATCATGTGTAAGTAATAAATAATAGAAAGTATTTATGAATATAAATTTATATTACTTGTATTTTTTGTATTACTGTTAAATTAATTAAAATTATTTTATAAGTTGAATAAAGATAATATTATTCACATACAAATATCATTTTAATAATAAATATTATTTATTTTATTTAATGAAGCAAAAGAAATATATAAAAGTTGAACATTTTTAAGATTTTTATAAAGTTTTATATTTTAATTATTTTAACAAATTAAATCTAAAATATATTTCTCTTCAATGTTATTAATAAAAAATTATTTTTTAAAATGTTTTTTTAGGTGTAATAAGAAAAGTACACAAGAATGCTACAGACGAACAAATTTCTAATCCCATAAAAATATGGCTAGCACACGCGAACGCCTTGTTATATCCCTCAAAGATATAACTATTAAGAAATAGCTACTCGTGTTACATCCGCTTGACGACGGACACTGACTGCGTAAAAACGCATACGCTGCGAGATATGCGCGAACCGAAATTGCTCAACGTGCAAACAAAGCAGAAGGACTTTGAAATCTGTTTCGCTTGCACCTAGGTCCTTGACCGAAGAGGCCCGTTGCTAGGCACCCCTTCCGATCAAGGAAATCCCAAAAAGCGATATTATAAAAAGGAAGCAGAGATGCGCCGAATCGCTCAGTCGCAGTCGCATAAGTCGCTCTCAAGACGCTCTCGCGTTGTTAGTTAAACGACCTTGCTAGCCGCGTGCGATATATAACATCCCTTCGCAGTTGCGCGCGATACGCGAAGTTATAGTTAAACAGTGTCGTTAAACCAATACACGCACATGTGTAACAGTGGTGAAACAAACAAATAAAAGTCAAGCGGTTTACTTGAATAAAGTTTTAATAATAAAAAGTGGAGTGCGTTTATTTCAACAACCCGAAATAAGTCTCGACGCCCCGGATCCTCATCCTAATTTGGCGCGACCCCTTGTGTCTCACCCGAGGCACACAACAGCCTACAAAAGCAAATACCGATAAATATTAATGTTTGTCTTTATATACATATTTATATATTTAATACAATAATTATTAGTCTTCCGCACACAACTTTTCTGGTAATGTTCCAATAGATAGTTTAATGATTTTTGGCTAATAATTGCTGGTCTTTTGCGTTATATAACTCTGCGTTAATAACTCTGTTTTAGCAATATGGTACAAACTGATGTGCAATGTCGATAACAATTTGTGTTAAAATAACTTTTTTTTATTCTCAATTTTAAGTTCTTTTGTTACAAATGTAAATTTTATTTTTTCCAAATGATTAATTCCATTCTTTTGTTTTTTTGATTATTTTTTATTTTATTTTTATTTTAATATCTCAAATATACAAGGTGTGCGCAACGGAAAGCAGAATAGAGAGGTCGGAAGTGAGAAGACAGAGAAGCACTGCACTCGACACACGCGTATCGTTAACAAAATATATTTAAACTATTAACACAAAAATACAATTATTTAAACCGCACAGAATGTACCAAAAGATAGCCGAGTCGAACGTATTAGAAAGTACAATAACCGAAAAAAAAGCCGTGTTGAAAATAAAATACCGAGTGTCCGCAAGCAACGGTAATTAAACGTGAAAAAGACAAGCGATCTTTTTCGTAAAGTAGAAGCACACTCTTGACGCGACAAGCAATCGGAAAAGAGCGCCGCGGTCACGAGAGAGGAGGTTTATATAGGCCTGTATTTCTAGAATATTCGCGAACATTTTTCTTATTCTATCGTTCGGTTGAAGGCAAAAGAGCGTTACTGTAATTATTTACTTTCCAGCAAATCGTAGTTTGTTATTATTGGGAACTAAATTGTATCTCTTCTCGCGCGACTGCGGTGTTTACAATTTAATGTGTTTTAATGTAAGCGCTTATTTTTCGTAGGCGCGGGGTATACTTATACTTTTGCGGCCGAGCGCTATTTATAATATGAAACGTCAGCATGTTAAGATAGAAATTGATAGACTGTATTATAATATAAATTAAACGCATGCTGCATGTGAAATGAGAGTACGGCATGAATTTACATGCAATGTTTTAATTGTTTTTTCTTTCAGCTTTTTTAGACGTTCGATTTTCGAACACAAAGTGTCCTATAATTGGTGAAAAATCTGCTAATGGCAGATTTTTGAGATCATTTGAAGATGATTTTTCCTCAACGAAAATGTTAAGAGATCATGTTTTACAGATTTCTAATTTTTATCATCATATATCTCTATAATTGAACTTTAAATTAAAATTCTATTATATAATAAACTCTATCTTAAATTAACTAATAAAGTATGTAATTTTGATAATTTTTTAACTTAATTTAATTGCGAAAATTTTCAATCGTTTATACATGTAACTCGAAAATTATTGATGGCTGGACATTTTGCTAAGGAAAATCGCCTTCCAATGATCTCAAAAATCTGCTATTAGCAGATTTTTTACCACACTCATCTGTCGTCGAGATAAACGAGACATCGGAGCCCTTGTATCCCGGTTAGCACTGAGTTCATAAGTCATTGGAAAGTCGCAGGTGCGTTTTTAAGTCCAAACGGCATTCTATTAAACTCGTAGTGTCCGCAGGAGTCGAGAAGGCTGTTTTATTTTTGTCGCGCTTGGCCATCGGTATCTGGTGATATCCAGATGCGAGGTCGAGCGTCGTAAAATACTTCGCGTTTCCCAGCTATCCAAAATATCGGTAATATTTGGCAGTGGGAATGAATCGCCTATAGTTAATTCATTTAACTTCCGGAAATCGACTACTACTCTTATCGCGGTTTGCCTCTTGCGTCAGCCTTTTTGGCACTACTAATAACGGTGCATTCCACTGGCTAATGCTTGTACTATAATTCCGTCTTTTAGCATTTCCTGTACTTGTTTGTTCACTTCTGATTTGTGTTCCTCGGGAAGGCGATACGGTCTCACATTGACGGGTGAGGTATCGACGCGCGTGCTTATCTCTGTTTTAGCGTTGCTGTGCATGACAGTGGTTCTCCGCTTAATAAAACCCGTTGCTATATGCTTCGCAATTTTCTGTATCGCTTTCCTTTCTTCCTCATTTAAATGTTTTGTGTGTAACAATTGTCAAATTTGTTCGTCACGCGTTAATTGATTCGGAGTCTCGTCTGTATGTATCGTGTACAACTCGTGCGCGTTATCTTCGCAAACGTCTTCTACGGTTACGAGGGGTGTGTGTATCTCGACCGGCTTATCAGTTGTATTAATTACACTGATGGGACATTGGTAATTCTTCGGTTCTACCAAACATCGTCCGATATAGATTCCTGGGGCGGTTTCTTTGGCTCGAATGATCCCTGTCTTATTATCATTTGTTATCGCGTGTATAATTGTTTCACTAGCGGCTTTAAGATAATTTTGTTATACGGTTGCAATTTTAGGACGGCGTTTCCGATTTGTAATTCGCGTTTTTTGTAATCGCACGTGACTTGCTGCTTCTAGAGGAAATCGATTCCTATGATCCCGTCGTATTCATCGGAAATCATCTTTCACGACGTAAATCGCGTGTTTTATCTTGTTTCCGTTTTAGCTCAATTGTCTCGTACATTTTCCGATCGTCTTTGCTTTATGACCGGTTATTCCAAGGGTTATTTTATTATTGTAAATTTCGGTCTCGCCCTTCAAGTGTTTCACTTTTATCAATGAAATCGTAGCTCCCGAATCGTAAAGCATATTACTTTTCCGCGTTTGCCTCTCGCATAGGCAGAGTAATTATATTTAAACTCGCTCTCTTCTCGGCGTTTCGGCGCACGTGTGTCACCTGATATTCGAGCGCGCGAGTCTTCTTAATCTTATCTCCGCGCTTCCGTCTTCTCGCTGCTACGTTCGGACTCGGAATTTCTCTCCTGCCGGATTCTTTGATTATCTATTTTATTAAAACTTCGCGGGGTTTTTTCGATCCTCTGGCTTGTTCCGTTGGGGGCGTCTTATTTTTTGGTCGCCCGTTTTAATTCCCAACATTCTTTGCGGTTATGTCCACGCTTTTTGCAATGATTGCAAAATTTTTCGATGGCGGATACGCGCGAGGATTTTTCCAGTTTTGGCAGAACGTTGACTTTGCTACGACAGTCTCGTCCGTAATGTCCGGGTTTTCCACATCTATAACATTGTCCCGTCGTTTGCCTGTCCTGACCGCGTTGATTCAGGTTTATTTATCAAGAATTAGTTGCCCGTGACGTGCTAGGTCCGATAAATCTCTCTTCCGCGCTCGCGCCGGCTATCGCTTCTTGAAGCGTCGTATATCGTTGTGAGCGTACGAGTACTTTAAGTCGCTTCGTAGCCCTAATTGAAAATTTAATAATGCTTGTGTTTGGATTGTTTGTAAGATAGTGCGTTTCTCTGAGCTCGTCTGGTTTCCTTCCTCTATCATTGAATCGTATAAATTCATAGCGAGCTGGTCGACGCGTTGCCCGAAATTTTGTGCTGTCTCATTATATTTCTGCTTTAGCGAATTAAATTCTAATTGCACGTGGGCAGTACTTTGCTTGCATTGGTATGCGGTCTCTAGTTGTTGCTTTAATTTTCTTCAAACGTTTTGTATGTCTCGCGTTTCGAAAACTTGCATGGCTTTACTCTTTAATTTAGTAAATAGTATGCCTTGTATCAGAGACTCTTTGTCTCCGGAATGTATGTTTTTGCATTGTATATGTGCATGCGTTTAGAAATTCCTGAAAGCGGTGTCGCGGATGTACCGTCGAATTTGGGTATCATCATTCGCGCTTCTTTTAGAGACATATATTGTCGTGCATACTCCGTCGATTTGCGTACGTCGCGCTCAGTCCGTCCGTAAGTCATACGAGGCTCGTAATCGGACTTCTGCTGTTCGTCTGTGTGTGTGTATGCCTGTGCGGCCTATCCTAGTCATACGTGTGTTTAGTGTATGTAGCTCTGCATGTATAGCTTGTATTATATTAAGCATTTTGTGAAGTTTCTCCGGGCGGCTACGACGGAGGGTTGTTGTGACGTGACAA